GATTAATTCATGTTTACCCAACCAAAAACTGATATCCCTGGATTATTAAAAAAAAACAAAACCCTGCATGTTGCACATTTTGTAGGAAACGTTAAAACCTGTGCTTATGGAATCAGCCTGGAACCACATTTTTATGACTTACAAAAGAAATTAGGCCCTACATTCAAAGTGTTGGTTATTAAATATTGTATCTTTAAAAAAATCAGCATGTTGAAAAACATTTGTATTTCATAGATAAAAATTGCAGGAGATAGAAATGAATATAGTTCTTAAACTTTTTTTTTTTTTTTTTTTTTTTTTTTTTTTTTAGTTCTTAAACTTTAATAGTGATCCAAAGATGCTGCTAACAAAGGCTGCCTTTGATGAACTGATTTTTCTAAAGTATTTTTAAAAGGTTAGCAAACAGAGTTAACCTTCAGAATAAGTTCAAGGATGTGTTTCTAAATGTGTGGTTTCTGTTTATCTGGAATACAGATCAAAACGCTGCGGTATTGCCAAAGGAAAATAAGCTGTTTTCCCAGTTACATTACAAATATCTTTAAAGTCTGCTTTGGGGATCTTTAAATTCTGTTTTCTATTTGCTTTTTCTGTTCAAAACAAGAGCACGAGCTGTCCATTAAGAAAAGGAAGAACAACTGGAGGTTATATAAGGACAGCTGCTTCTACTCACCATGTCAACTGATAAACAGTTAGAAATCTACTGCCCCCAAAGAAAATCAATATTTATAGAAGAGCCAGCATTTCAAATATACGATTAGTGTTATGACTACACTCGATTTTAAAGTTCTTAAGCTTTTTACCTGTGACCACTAGGAAAATATGTTGCCATTTACAGTGCGTTGCTCTGTGAAAAGTGGTTTCTGCTTACATCACTTCATTTCAAAGAATTCGCTAGGACAATCGGATTGCCTCAAGCTGAAACAGCAGCCCAATTACTAGTAAAAACTGCTTCAGACTTTAAGAGCCTGCAGGGCTTTAAAAATCAATGATGCTATAGTATTTGCATCCTAAAAAAGGCAGCCAAAAGGCAAACTAAAATGTTGGAAACGTGTTCTTCAACACTATTTCTTTTTTTTTTTTTTTCAACACTATTTCAAAGTATTTCTACTCTTCATTCATCTGTTTGGGAGACATAATTGGACACTGCCAGTTCCATCGATATTGCCAATGGCTAATGAGCACGGGCAAAGACAATTAGGACATAGAGCAAATATTTTGAAAAAAAATCAGAGAAGGGTAATTCACATACATAGTTACTTATACATCCCATTGTAACTTTAAGCTAATGGGGGGTCATGAAAAAAATAAAAATCAACATGTGTAAAAGTAATCTTGTTTCAAGTTTTTGGGCTCCTGTATTAGGTTGCTCTATTACAGAATGTTATTATCTACCTAAATTGTGTCTGTTTGATTTTATATTAGTCCTGGAAGGGAAGATTGTATTACTGTGTGCCCCCATAATTATGATGTAATCATCATACCCTGAGAACACAGGTAAGCCAAGGGGACCTTCTTTTGGGATGGCAAACACAGTGGCATGACATCGCAGATATATGAAGGGCACCTTTCATCTCTCTCATATCACTGTGTCCTTAATCAGGGGTTAGATCAGAGAAATGGGGCAAAGGTTCCCAATTTGCTGCAATTCTTGTGAGTTTCCCTGGTATAGAACAGACATCCATAGAGAATTCAGTAGAAAAGAGGAAACATAAGTGGCTTCCTTTTAAAATACGTGCATTCATTTAGTCATTCACTGATTCTTCTAATTATTTAACACATAGTGTTTCAAGGACTGCAAAGTGACAGGAAAGTTGCTAAACACAGTAACTACAAGTCATTGGATACAGAGACAAGTCATAAACATAAAACACTATGGTGCATGGTAATAATGGATTGGCCATGATATCAAAACTGCAGAGCATACACTTCTGAGAGAGAAAGAATACCGGGTTTTTTCAGCACAGAGCTCCAGCAGAAACCAAATAATAAAGTAGGTATGGAGTATCTTATGGGGTATATTGAAAGGAAGCAAAGTTGTCAGAATTCATTTTATAAAGGCTCAGTACTTAAAGATCACATTCTGAGCAACTGCGTTAGAGGAGAATAAGATTCCGTGATAGAAGCTCTGGTGTAAAAAGTGAGAGTCCCCTCACAAAAGATGCCCAACCACTTGGGCAAATTAATAGAAAACAGATTGATAGATCATTCAATCAATAGATACAGATAGATATTAAGAGATACATGGAAAAAAAATATATATATTATTCCCTAGAAAGAATTATAACAATTTCCTTAGCCAGATTAAGGAAGTTCTAGAGAATTACACAGAACTTGATATAAGCTCTTTAGAGTTTTTCATAAAACTCTAAAGTGTGTTTAGAGTGTATTTAGAGTTTAGGTGTGTTTGTGTGTTTAGAGTTTAGGTGTGTTTGTGTGTGTCTACGTATATTAGAGCAAAGGATGTGAGTCTAAGTGCAGATGTGCATGCATGTATTCCCCTCTTATCCCCACGCACCAACCATTCTCTTTACAAACTTCCCTGTTACTCAAGAAGATGAAAAATAGAATCCCAACAATTCTAGATGATAGCAAAGAATCCATGATTTTAAGAGTATCAGAAACCATCACTAATGACTAAAATCGTTATTCACTCAAAAAATGCTCAATATCATGCAAGTCACAGATTCCTGACTTTCCAATACAACCTATTTTATCTATTTTTGGATGCTCTGAAAGCTGCCTAGGGCTAGAATTGTTTTTGGCATCCAACTGTAGTTTCCACTTATTTCCTTCCTTTTCCACAGAAGGAATTTATTGTTTTGTGTTTTTGGTTTTTCCGGTTTGCCCATACTACAGCAGGCAGGTCCCATGTTCAGCAATGCTGACAGTCTCAGAGAAGCATATATATATATATATATATATATATATATATATATATATATATATGCCTAATGGGCATTTATAGAAGCATAAATGCCCATTAGGAAATTCCTAGATGTTTTCAAACATATTCCCCAAATGTCCTCTTCCTGGTTTCCAAAATACCTTTCCAGATTTAAATGAGCCCATCTCTTAAGAGCAATAAGCTTCCAAATGATATTTATTGTAATGTAAAAATTACACTTTCCAGAATATACACAGTCCCTGTTGAGCAACATAAAGTCAATAGTTAAACAGTTAGCAAGCTTTCCTTTTTACCCTTTAAACTCTAACACTTGTCACTTCATTACTGTTCGAGAAATGGTTCTACCATTTATCTGCCTTTTTCATTCAATGGAAACATTATACAAAAGACTAACACAGCACTTTTTACAAATAATATTCATTGTGAGTGGATATAATACACTTGGTTGAAATAATTCTCAATTACTTATATTCCTGAGTATGAATTTATATAATCACACATAACACATTTCTTTCTTCCGTTACTCCTTTCTTCATATTTGAGTCTATATATTTCTACAAGTAATGATTTGAATTCAGAAAGTATCATCAAAAGAAAATGAAAAGGTTATATAAATGTCAACGCCTTGCTATGAATTTTACAGGTTCTTGCGGAACTCAACTCTGAGTATCTGGACTGGCTTTCTACTATAAAGAGAAATACTTCTATGCGTGACATAGTTCCTGACAATAGCTTCTTGACATAGAAGAAGCTTGAAAAGTGTGACAAAAATCCTACTTAATCACACATTTACACATGCATTGCCCTCATTTTTCTTTTGCATAGTAATACTGGATCTTAATAAGAAGGCTTATACTGCTTATTGCCTCTTTATCTACAAAAGAAGAGTTTTTACAGCCTCATCTGTACTTTCAAAAACTAGAACATGCCGGTTAGAAACCAAACTGTTTTTTCCAAACCATGTAATACATTTTAACATAAAAAAAGAGGAGGTGAGCATGAATTTTTGTTCTCGTTCTTCTGGGCTATGTAATAATGGCATTGATGAACACATGGCTAAACATAAACTATTGAAATAGAACTTTAAAAATTACTTTATCAATATGGTTGGATCCCATCATATGAATTTATGGTCTCTGTCTAAACTTTGAGATCTTGATGGCCCCTGTGTCTTCTTTGTGTCTTCTCATAATGCCTCATTTCCTTAAAAAACAATGTAATGTTATCAGAGGTGATTTTTATAAGTAGTATGTTGGAAAAATTCTAGAAAATTATAAAAATGAGATCATAATCATAGCACCCGGGTAGGGAATTGTCTCACTCCTTTTTTTTCTTTTTTAATTCTTTTTAAAAAATTAAAATTCTTTATTAAAATGTATTTTCCTTTTAAATTCTTTTTAAATGAATTTTTAAAAATAGATAATTTTTATTTTTAAAAATTTAGAAAAGTATAAGGAAAATAATGAAATTACTCCTAGTGCCACCATTCAGAGATAGTTGACCCTTACTTTTATTTTCATATCTACTCTCTGTGACTAAAGTAGGATATTTTATTATCCTATGTTATGCTTTTCCACATATCAATGAGTAATTGACTGTGATTTAATATTTTTTAAAAACATAAATTTTAATATCTGCATAATTTACCACCCTATTTCTTCAGGAAATCATTTAGTCAGTAGAAAGCATCTCTGTTTAAACACTAACAAAATTTCTTACCAACTCAGCCAGGTTTATCTGTGAAACAAGGAAATATAAGATTACTTCTCCTTAAAATTTTTTTTCCTTAAATTGAGCTAATACATGTGGATCTCTCTGTGTACTGCTTACTCCACTTTTCTAGCATAAAACTTGTGCCACGAAAGAAACAAAGAAAAAAGAGTATTTAGGCATTTGAGAGAAATGTAGTCTTTCTCACTTTAGATGAAAAATGGCTTAATAGTGCAACTTTCTCAAACACAATTTTGGGCATTACTATGGTGATAACATTTTATTTAAACTAGTCGAAAAGTAGCAATATTTGTAGAAACAAACCTTCAGCATGTTTAAAATTTTATTTTCCCTTGCAGAGGAAAAAGACTTCAGATTTATTTACCTGGGGATATGATATAGAAGAAATCTTTAAATTCATCCATCCAAACTTCTGCTAGTCTCCTGTTGTTTTTGTTGATGACATGACCAGTGCCACCAGGGAAAGTGTATGGAGTTGCCTTCCGAAAAACGTGACCAACGTGGGAGCAAGTCACAATCTCCAGAGAACCTCCACATTGCCAAATCTGGGAAAAGGAACCATCGTCATATCACAATCATTGTCAACAATGGAGTAATATTTTCTAACAAGTAACTGAGGCTAACTAAGGCCAAATCCTTAGATTGTACATGGTTCAAGCAAACATTAGATACAGAATTTAGAGCTGGTATACTAGCTCGGCAAAAGTTTCTAATTTAGAATAGTTTGATAGGTGTAAATACTACAGCACTGGATTTGTGAAACTAAGGTGCATTTATTTTTTCATGTACCTTTATCTACCAAATTTTCAGCTTCTAGTAGTTAACCTATTCGCTACTTAATAGATATTTAGTATCTAAGATCTGCCATGATTTAATGAATTTGCACACGTTAGATGCCATAGTAAAGAACTAAATTTGATTTGGAGAAAAACCAACTATATTCCATTCATCTGCACTTTTTAATGACCATTAATTCTCAGCTGTCCCATGTCCCCTGTGCCTTACAACTTTGGATATGTCATTCTTATTAAAATGTGTTAGGACTCCTTTACATCTGCACAACATGTGTGCAAAATCTGTCTCCTGGTCATTTCTTCTAGGAAGCTATGTGGAAAGGTTTAGTATTTTGTGACTTTTGTACTTTAAACATCCTTTTAAAAAAGATTTATTTTAGAGAGAAAGAGAGAGCACATGCACAAGCGGGGGTAGGGGAAGAGGGAGAGAATCCTCAAGCAGACTCCCCACTGAGCACAGAGCGGAGTTTGGGGCTGGATCCAATTACCCATAAGCTCATGACTTGAGCTGAAACCAAGAATCTAGCACTCGTCCAACCGAGCCACTCAGGTGCTCCTTGAACATCCTTTCATGAAGAATGATTACAGTCTTATAAGCAATTTTTACTTCACTATCTCTCCCTTAAAACTGTAAACTCTTAGGAAACATATGTCATACACTGTCCTGGACTTGCTGTGCAGTTGAGGCTAGTAATTTAGTATCCCTAACACATTTATTTCTATAAAATCACATTGTTTAGCCTTAGGTATACTAATAGCTAATTACGTGTATGTGCATGGTATATATAGATATCCAGACATATGACACACGCCTGCATATGTTTATTACATACATGTAACACATTGCTTTTGTGCCACATGTTATTTATCCCAATAAACGAGAGCCATAGTTATCAGTATATGTAATTGGAAGGATTGGATTTTATACTGTACCTAATATCGTTCTTATTTTAAGGAGAGTTGCTTATTTTGAAAGATAAAGTTTTCCCCAACTGGCCTCTTAAGCAATACTCATCTTAGAAGATGGTTATCCTTGGGCTTGGGTAGTGGTAAGACACGTTCATTTTTTCCAGAAGGTGGGAGATGCCGAATAACAAATTGTTTTCATCAACACTGGCTTGTGCATTACCTATGCGATCCTTCCTTTCTCATTTTCTAATTGTTTAAGCAGCATAATACTAAGAGTAAAGAAATTTCAACCTAACACTAAAATGTAAGTATAAAATATAAATGAAATACAAAATAATATAATTCGCTATACCCTCAAAAGACAGGATAGAGCATTCTTAAATAATCAAAGTTTTTAATTGGTAACTCTGTCATCTTTGTAGCATAAAATCTATAAACTGTCTTGGAATTAAGCAATCTTTACATTCTTCCATCCCATTATGAGGGAGGAAGTTGATCTTTCTCCTATCAAAGATAAATCAATACTTGTGTGTCAGTCTAGACCATATGCCTAAGTCTGTCTTAGAACGTCACTGGTCTAGTTCACCCCTGGATTTCCTCCAGAAACATCAATAATTTTGCTCATTACTAGATTATGTTTACCTTCACATAACATCTCATTAATCTCCTATCTTTAAAACCGATTTAAAAAATAAACAGTGAAAAGGTTACAAACACAACAAAAGTCCTTCCCTTGGTCCACATTCTCTTGGTTCAAAGTATCCCATTCTCTGTTTCCCTTCAATGTAAATTAACATAAAATTTTAATGGATACATATTGTTTGCCTTCCGAATTTTCATCCACCTTCCTACTCATAGTGAAATGCTGTTTATTTTGGTAGCTCCTCCAAAATTGCCATGGTGAAAAACACAAATTTTTCCTTTAATGAATATCTAGTGGACTTCCTTTCTTGGATTGTCCTGCTTTTCCTCCCTCCCAGTACTCACTGTTTATATGTTTTTCGCTCTAAATTTATATTTAAATGTTAGCTTCTACCTTCCTTTATTCATTCTCCTGATGGTCTTATTCACTCCTGTCATTTTACATAGGATCTGAATACTCAACCTCAACAGTGACATCTCAACCCAAGCCTCTCCTCTTGGATCCAGACTGTGTATTCAAACATCAACTTGGTATCTGCTCTCACATGTCTCAAACGCACCTGAATAAACAAGTCTGAAGTGGAACTGTTAGTTCATCCCTGCCCTATCAGTCAGGTTTTACCTTTTTAGTCCTTTTAATCATCAATAATTGGTGCCACCACTAACTCAGGCGGTCAAACAAACATACAAACAAATCAAAACAACAAGAAAACTCAAAACCTCAAAACCATAAAACAACAACAACAACAACAACAAAAAAAAAAAAAAAAAAAAAGAAGGAAAAACGAAAAAGGAAACAGAAGCTCCTCCCCCTTGGTCTTGGTAAACCCTAGAGGTCATTATTGACTTTTTTTTTCATCACTTATATTCAATCTGTTAACAAATCCTGCCTTTGCTATCTATAAAAATAATAATTCTCTATATATCCATCTCTCTCCGTCTGTCCACCACCATCCTTGTCTGTCCACCAACATCTCTTGTGCTTCAGTTGCAGTAGACTCTTAATTGTCTTGCTGCTCTCACTGTTGCTCTCCTATTAATTTGCTTTGAACTGAGAAAGCACAGTGGTCTCTAAAAAAACTAATCATTTCATTTTACTTCCATGTTTAAATACTTCCATGGTTTCTTACTGAACTGTGAATATAAACCAAATCCTTCAGCAGGGCCTCGCAGGCCCTACGCGATGCTCTCCCCGTCAGCACTGGGGATATTGGCCCTCTGCCATTTCCTGGAATAACAGATCGCACACTCTCACACAACAAAGCCTCCACGCGTGCTTTCCCTACACCTGGAATAGGACTATCGACTACCGTACTGCCTCTGTCCCATACTTCTCATCTTGGCCAAAGCATCCCTGCATCACAGAGCTCTTCCCTAATTTCCATATTTAAAGGGCCCCTCTCCAATTGTTTTCTGAATTAGCACCTTATTTATTTCCCTCTTTGCTTATCACAGTCTGTAGTCTATTTATTTGTTTGGCTGTGCACTCCCCGCACTAGAACATAGACTTTAAAAGGGCAATGGAGCGATCTGGTCATTGTTTACCCTTACCCCCCACCTGCAGCCAAGCCCGGTGCTGGTTACACAGGAGATGTCACTGCATGTTGGTTGAATGGAAACATGAGTAACTCAAAATTAACTACCAAGATAAATATTTAAAAAAGCACCCGTGGCAGAATGATGAGATTTAAACAGACATATTTTGAAGGTGTTTTAAACGGCATTATGAAGGAGATATCTTTGGTATCAGATTAAGCAGAGTAGTCTAATGAAATGAAATGCCACTGTTATTCCACAGGCTCTGGGAATCGAGGGAGCTCTTTGGAGGTCACAGCACAAGTAAACATTAGAAATGGTTGGTGACTTGTGACAGACGAGTTGCTAAATGATACAATCTTAATTTTTAATGTTACTAAAGTAACCATTTAGGCGAATTCACATTATCACTCTCTTAAAGACATGATTTAGTAAAGACTCAGGTGTTTGTGCTGTGACCGAGCCATTCAGCAAGGAGCCCCAAGTTCAGAAGAAATAGCACATGGTGCGTTTCATTGGGGAGGGAACTCCAGATATTCTCTTCATTGTGCAGGGTCCACGGCAGGGTTCCCCCTCCTCTGCGGATGAGGCACGAAGGAAGAGCTGCTCTCCTGCTTCACCCAGCTCATGTGGGGGAGCCACAGAAGTGAAGGGGATGCTGGCATTGCACTCCCTGTCGGATAATTGCCAAGCGGTAAAATCATCAAACTGTGCTGGTGTTGCCACCAGTACACAGCCGAATGTAATGAGTGAGATCGTGGGAAAGCCACAAGTGTAAGGAAAACCCTGACTCTAGTAAACTAGGAAACACTCCTCTCCTGGAGAATCCTGAAGGTGGGCTGGGGTGGGGTGGGGTGGGGTGGGGGTATTGCCCAGCACGTTGCAGCACAATTGGTAGAGGTCCAGTGACGTAGTAATCCTGGTAAGGGGCAGTCTTTGGAGACAACTGGCCAAGACTTTTGTGTTCCCCCAACTCTACAGACCATGGAATACAGAAGAGGGAAAATGAGCTGTGAGACAGCAAGATGGCGGATAAGCAAGATGTTAACATTGAGAAGGCGGTTGCAGACCATACAGAGTGAGGGAGAGACTAAGATTTAAACTCTCTGCCAAAAAGCTCTTGGATAACACAGGCGATAGAAGATGAAGCTGAGAACACATATGAGGAAACAATGAAACTGTGCATAGAAGACTTGTGGATGAAGGCCAGTAGAACCAGGTGCGACCAAGTGAGCCAGCAGCAGGTGGCCATCGGAGAACATTCAATCAGGCAGGGCCTGACATTTCTGTAGCCCTCCTATTTGACATACCCTGGGGGAGTGGGACCCCAGAAGACCCTGCCTTCCCCCTTCCAAGTGCTTCTGTCAGCCTGCGCATGGGGAGAGGAGAGAATTTGAGGCATATACCACTTATGAAGCCAAAGCTTTAAACTGAAAAATACTAGTATTTTTAATAACTGAAAGTGGCTAGAAAGCTATTGAGTATATCCTCAGTGACATCAGGATTGGAAGGGAATATTCCTCACAGCATTATACAATGATTAGAGGGAAAAAAAATCATTTTAATTGTGCTTCTTTAAATTTAGCCTGCACAATAAACCCTGTCACGTACAAACCAGCGACTGACAGCTGGCTTCTGAGTTCACAATCTGCCTTTTTGCAAAT